TTTTCGATCTCAGCTGTTTCATTATTAAGGATTATCGTTAGAACTCTTTGGGGGGCTGCCAGAATTCATTACAGGATGCCGAAAATCTAAAAAAAATTTTTTTTTTCAATAATTAATTTTTTTTGAAATTTTTTTTTTTGGAAATCCATTATTTTTTTGAGAGTTCTGTTTGTCCCCCAAAGAGTTCTAACGATTATCCTTAATAACTGATGCGCTAAAACCGATATCTAAAAAGTTCTAGGGCTTTGAAGTTACCTGCGTGGACTTAGAACAATTTCAAGAATTGAAACTTCAAATGCCCAGAACTTTTTAGATATCGATTTCAGCGCATCGGTTGTTAAGGATAATCGTTAGAATTCTTTGAGGGGCAAACAGAACTCTCAAAAAAATAATGGATTTCCAAAAAAAAAAATTTCGAAAAAAATTAATTGAAAAAAAAAACTTTTTTTTAGATTTTCGACATCCTGTAATGAATTCTGGCAGCCCCTCAAAGAGTTCTAACGATAATCTAACGTGATCAGCGTAATATTCGGACTGTGTTCGACTTGATTTGCGAATGTTCATATCGATCATTCATTTTACTTCTAATTAAAGAGAAACAAAAGAATATAGCTCAATTATTTTTACGTTACAATTTTTTGAACTTATAAGTTAGATTAAAACGAAAAATTTTCTACTTAAATTTTGAATAATTTAAGTAGCATTTATGGTTAATTTTTAAATAAAAACTTTTTTTATTCAATTAGATTGAAAAATTGCATTTCATATTCAGAATATTGAATTGAGCAGTATTCACGTTGCACAGAAATGGTTGATATTATTTTTAAATTTAACTGAATTGAAACAAGTGTACTTTCTATTTACAATCCTGGATTGAGTAGTATGCACAGAAAATGCTAATATTATTTTTAGATTGAAAGACATAAAGATATGCTGTATGCAATTCCTATAAATGAATAAAAATGCATTCAAGATTGAAAAGGATTCATTTTAACATTCATGAATCCGTATTTCTGAAAATCTGAATCCATTTTAATCCATTTCAATTCATTCTCGTTTGCTGGATAACTACTCACGGTAACCGCCTGATAGTTTAAGATTTACGGATGTAGCAACACAGCTGAAAATGGCTTGAAACGTTCAGTCGTTATACTTATGTGAAAGGTTAAACACATTATGTTTGAAAATATAATTGCATTAATTACCGCGCACTAATTATTGAAGCTTTCAATTGCCCGCTTTTAAATTAATTATTAGTTTAATATTTCGAGACCTCAATCTGTATTTTTCTTTATTTATTTTAATTAACTTTAACTTAACTCAGTTGACAGAAAAATAACCATGTACTTAACCTTCCATGAAATAAATATACATAGTATTTTTCTAGATTATCCGAGTATATAAGAATCATGGATGGCAAAGAAACATGTAGATCGTGGAACGATATCGATTCCAGTGAGGAAATCGTTATTTCTGGTATTGCTGGTAGATTTCCTTATTCAGATAACATGAATCAATTACGAGAAAATTTATTCAATAAAATTGACCTTGTAAGAGCAGATCATAACCGATGGGAAATAGGTGATTAATTCATACTTATAATTATTAGGGTGATTGTTATTTTAACAATTTTTTAAATTTAATCAAGACATCCCCTAAAATGGTTCAATATCTCAAAGAAATAATATAAGATTTTTCAGATTTTTTGAACAATTACCGTGCCACTAAGGCATGGTATAGGCGGAAAAACACCTTTGTGGACAAAATTCGGCCGACGCTCTAATTCTTAACTAATTTTAAAGTTTGTTTTTAATTTGTTCGAAATTGAATAAACCATAAGCCCATTTTATGTGTTTTGATTATGGTAACAAAGTAAAAATTGCCAATGAAGACAGCAAAAAAAAATTTAATTATATGATAACGAATATCGGATCGGCAATTTTTAATTGGAATCGTAATCAAAATTTAAGCAAAATGGGTTTTTAGCTCACTCAATATCAAGCAAATTAAAATAAAAACTTTAAAATTTGTTAAGAATTAGAGCGTCGGCCGAATTTTGTCCATAAAGGTGTTATTCCGTATATCCGTGCCTCAATGGCGTGGGTTAAAATTGTTCAAAAAATTTGAAAAAAATCTGATGTTATTTTTTGTGGATATTTAACGACTTTAGGGAATGTGCCGATTAAATTTCAAAAGTTCTTAAAATAATAATTACTCTAATGGTTATACATTATACTTTTACAATTACGCCTGTTTGGTTAAGATAGTATATGCCACTCCTACTGTACTATTTATTTGCCAACAAAAAAGTATATATCAAATTAAAGTTTCATACAAAATGATAATCAAAGAACATAAAATCCTTATGTAAATATATCTATTTTTAGATCATGCGGAATTTTCACGCCGTATGGGAATAGTTAATAATATAGAAAAATTCGATGCGGATTTTTTTGGATTATCTTTTGAGCAAGCACATACACTTGTACCTGATGTGAGATTGTTATTGGAACATTCTTATGAAGCAATTATCGATGCGGGGATCAATCCAAAGCAATTACAAGGAAAAAATACTGCCGTAAT